CATATGAATAAGTTGGGACTTAGAGTTTTTAGACGCCATTTTAGGACTTAGAAAAATTTTTACTGAATAGTGTTTTACACGGAAAGCCGATGTATGTTTGTGTGAGTCTTTGTTTTAAATTTGATAACGTTATGAAAATATATATTTTTTTTTTTTTGTATATATAGGAAATGAGAAATTTTTTATTAAAACATACCAAATTTCCATTTTCCGTTATATTCCGCTCTTTAATATCCATTTTAAATAAAATATTTCAAATGAAATGTAATGATGAAAAGCAGGACATTGAAGAGAAAAAAAAACGGACACGATAAAGGAACGATACACCACAACGAAACTAACACACAAGCCAGCTCACTTTTCGGCGGCTAAGTTCGTGCTCGATCATTCTGCGCATGCGTCAAATATTTTACTTTTAAACTTTTTTTTTTTTTTTTTCATTTAAAATAACTTATAATAATAATAATAATAATAATACAGGTTGAAATCACCCCGTTATAGTTAACGTTTTATGAATCATTTTTTTTTTTTTAAAATTCTTAAATATTATTTATCATGTGAAATATATTTTTTTAAATGTTATTAATAAATAATAATTTGGCAATGTTATTATTATTATTATTTAAAATTTTTTTCCTTTATTTTTTTCAATGTTTGTGACTAGGGGTTATTTTGTTTATCTCCCTCTCTCTCTCTCTCTCTCTTAATTTATTTTTATTCTTTTTATATATAATATAATAATTAAATAACTTATCATTTATAAAAAAAAAAAAAAAATTAATCAATATTTGTATTTGTAAACAGAAACAATGAGAGAGAGAGAGAGAGAGAGAAAGAGAGAGAAACTTTTTTTTTTTTAAATTAAAATATGAGTTCTTAAAAGCAAAAATGAATAATCAATAAGGTATATTAATAATATTAATAATAATAATAGTAATTAATAAATAAATAAATGATAAAGCAAATGTTATATTTAAAAAAAAAAAAAAACAAAAACTTAAAAAACTTATTTTTTATTCAAATTCTGTTCGACACAATAATAGCTAAATAATAATAATAATAATAATAAAATAAAATGGCAGACACACAACCGTAAATTTTAATAGAATAAAATTAATTCCGGCTTTTTTTTTTTTTTTATCATGATTCTAGTAAGTTGACGATTGATGAATTAAATAAAATAATTAATTTATTATTATTATTATCATCATTCATTTTGCAATGAAAAATTTTAAACAAATTTGCAAACATAAGCATTTAAAAAATTTCATTAACCATTATTACATCATAACTGTCAATTATGTAAATTACTAAATGATTATGTCAAAATAAACAAATTAATTAATTAGTTTTTCTCCCTCATTTTATTAATTTTAACTTAATTTTCAAATAAATACAAATGAGTAATAAATAGTTAATCATAAATTATTATTATTATTATTAGGAACTTGAAACGTTTCGTTTTTCATTTTGGAAATACTTATTAGCCCTGAAAATTCTTTGCAATAAAATCTATAAATATTATTTTCTTGTATTCATTAAGAGGGTTCTGATATTTTTTGAAATATAAACGTTTGATAAAGTGTTATTACTTCCCATTCTGATTTTGATAGCGTTCCTATTTTGTTATCCTGTCCGGCATTTACTCCTCGAATGGACGCGTGCGAATACTCGCTTAACATATCGATGCTCTCGTCTTTCCCTTCTTCCGGTCGGAATGTTTCCAAAGCTTTCATTCTCCTTAGCAAAGCACGTCCCAATCCGGTGTTTTTATTTTCTTCGTATACTTCATCGAAACGCTTTTTACTAATTAATTTCAAACCGAATTTCGATGCGAGTTTGACGAAGGCGGGGAAATGAACGAGAAATTCCGGACAGTTCACCACATCCGCCAAGTAAAAATTATAGGTTGCACCGAATAGAGAATAAGGTTCTGGAGAACACATTTCGAGGCTGAAAGCTCTATTTTTTAAACAATTTGATTTTGCATTTCTAAGTCTTTTGACAATTTCGTTCGCGTTCGGGAGAGTTCCTATGAAAAGCCCGTTCGGTTTTAAACATTCCGATGCGTTCATTAACATGCATTCAGCTTGGGGAAGAGACTCGAAACAATAATGAAATGAAAATTGACAGCTAACCACATCAAATTTTATCGATGGATCTTCATATTTTTCTCTGAGTCGAACCTAAAACATAAACAATAAATAAGTACCCCCTAAATGTTTCCCCCCCTCCCCTAAATTTCAAGAACTAATCAATTACCCTTGTACAATCTGCTGGGAAAATTTCAAATTTCACACTATTAGTTTTGTTAAATTTTGCAGATATGTCCATAAATCGTTCTTTGCAATATTGCACGCTAGTCTCTGCAATGTCAGTGCAAACTAAATGACGAACATTCAATTTTAACCATTTAATTATGTCTCCTCCTCTTCCGCAACACATGTCTAAAACTGTTAAATTTCTATTGTATTCGTTTAATTTTAACAAATCAGTGACAGCATGATCTGTAAGAGAAATAATCACAGTATAAAAAATAATACTACACTACACTACTAAAGTTTTCAAATGTAAATAATAATTTATTTACTCACTCATGATAATAGTTTTAACCCAATTATTAAAATTTCTCAAATGAAATATTTTACAATTATTTCTTCCTTCCGTATCGACATTTTCTAAAGCATTATAATGTGAAGCGACAATGAGTGAAAACCTTCCCTGATTTACAGTAGATTCATCTAAAAATGTAATGAAATATTTTAAATCAGGATCAAGGTAAATGTAAAATTTACAACAGTGGGGGAGGAGGGGAAATTATAACCTGATTCCTTTATATCATCATTAATTTTTTCTCCTTTGTTTTTCTCGCTAAATTCATGAGGATGCTCATTTTCAGATTCTGATTTTAATTTTTTATTTTTTAACATTGAATCATTTTTTTCCGATTCTTTTTTGTCTTCTTCTTCTTCCCCTTCTACTTCTTCCTCGCTATCTATCTTTCTTTTATTATTTTCCTGAAGCAAATAAATTACAAATTTGATTAAAATATTGTAATAAACAATTTTAATCATTAGACAATAGGGAATAAATTTGTTTAATTGTATTAAATATTAATAAATAAATTTTAATTAACAAGAATAACTTAAAAACGCATTCAACTGTACATCTAATTTAATATTTTAAAATTAATAATATTCATTGGTAAAATAAATATATATAAAATATTTCATAGTTAGAAATTGATTTAATTAATAAAATTACTTAATTTACAAATGATTTTACCTTATTGTAAAAATTTATGAAAAAGCGCAATTTATAAAAAAAAAAAAAAAATTTTAATTATAGAAAATTTAAAGTAAGAAAACCTTACGCTATTTTCAAATTTTATATCCGTATTCGAACTTTCCTCCATTTTCCAATAATTTATTACTGATAATATGAAAATGAATTACTGTCAAATAATATCGACATTATATATTTTTTAAAAAAAAATGCAACACCCTTTATAATCAGATAAAAACTGTAAAATATTCGGCGTCATAATGACGTCTACATCCAAAAGACAAATCGTGGCAGTAGAATAATTTATCGTTATTCATATAAATTAATATTATATCGTTTATTTAGTTTTTTTTGTTTTTACTTTACTTTTTGAAGAATTTAAATTTTTTTTTTATTATAACAGTCGTAAAGTATAAACTAAAACTTTAAATTTTATAATTAAAAAAATCCGTTTCGCGTTTACGATGTAAATAAACGATAAAAATTTAATATATTTAAATTTAATAAGTAATTTAATTGAATTCAATTTAACGGTAAAGTTTGTAAATTAACGTATTCGTGCTCTTCCTCTTATCAGTACTTCATGAATTGTGTCATGAATTAATTTTTTTACTGATAATATGTTGGAAAAATTACATTAAATATTGAATTTTTTTTTTTTTTAAATTCAAGTTTATAGAAATGGCAGTGGCTCATTATTTATCCATTGTTATAATTAGCATAGCTAGTTTTGTTTTCGGATTGATCCCACTGACATTTAAAAAATTCTCAACACAATCATGTTCTTTTTTTCTTTCTTTAATATTATGCCTTGGAGCAGGAGTTTTATTGGCAACATCAATTGTGCACATGTTAACAGAAGTCCAAGAAAAATTAAAATCAAATGCTCAATTATATTTTTGTTTGGGATTTTTAATTTTATATTTTTTCGATGAAATCAGTCATTTTATCGTTCAAAGCAGAAAGAAAAAAATAATTAATGTAAGTACACCTTGATATCAATGATAACCCATGATTATTGTTTACTCGTTGTCATAATAAATAAATTAATAAATTTTTAGCAAAATTCAGTACCTGTTCCTTCCGAGAGTACTCCTTTATTATCATCTCGTGATTTAGAACACAGTACGAAAAAGAAAATCAATCATGATTGCATTGAACAGTGCTGCCACATTTCCAACATTACGACAGAAAGGTAAAACCGATTCTGAAAAAAAAATATATATATCAATTAATTATTTTAATTATTATTTTAAAATTTTTAGACCAAATACTTCACAGAGTTGTTCAAATTCTTCAAATCTCGACAACACAAAAATATTATGTCACATTGATATTGGAAAACCATGTTCGCATAATTTAACTGCCAAAGCTGGTTTATTGATTGCATTAACAACACATTCGATATTGGAAGGGATTTCAATTGGTGTACAAACAAAATTTGATGAGGTTATTATCATAAATCATAATAAAATACAAAACAATCAATCATTTGTACGAAAAAAACTTTATATACACTAATAATAGTTATTTTTTAGATTTTTTTAGTTTTGGGAAGTGTAACACTCCACAAAGTTGTACTATCATTTTGTCTAGGTTTAGAATTGAATTCTATCAATGTTAAAAAACTTTATTCAATTGCTGCTATTGGTATATTTTCTATTGGTAGTTCTGCTGGAATACTAATCGGTTTGTTTGTAACATCAACCAGTCCATTTAATATAGATGCTCAAATACAAGTAAGACTCCATCCATTGAGACACAGTTTCAAAAGTTCCTTATGAAAAATGATAACTCATAACTTGATTTCATTTGCAGGCGATAGCAGGAGGAAGTTTATTATATGTAGCTGCATTTGAAGTTCTTCCTCGAGAAAGATTTCAATGGCAACATAAATCCCGTCACTATGCAGGAATATTACAATTTTTTTTTGTCATTATAGGTTTTACCTGTCTAAGTATGATTCATTCTTTCGTAGGTAACTACTTTCAAATAACTACTTACAAAAAAACTAATACAATAATTAAAAAAGTAATTCATTTGCTGTAAAAAAAGAAAAATTATTTTTGACATTTTTTTTGTCTTTTTAGTTTTTCCACATTACCATGTCTCAAATTCAACGAATTCAATCGAGAAAAACTTTACAGAAACATAAATACATTACATTTTATTATATAATTTTACATTAAATAAAAATTATGTTTTCTTTTTTTTATATAATTCACAAATAAAAATAAATTATTTTGTATGATATCTTATAATTTCGACCAAGTTTCATTTATTTAAAAATACGTTATTTTTCATTTTCAATTTTTGAAAAAGCTACTCGGCAAAAAAATTTTTAAGTAATTTTAGAGTGAAAAAATTGCACACAATATTGAATTATTCCTATGTAAATAAATTTCTTTTTGTAACTTTTGTTCAGTAAAATTTGAATGAATATAATTTAAATTGTTCGTTATAAAATAACTTTTAGTGAAATTTTTAGATAATTTTTTTTTTTTATCAATTGTTTTAAAATACAGTTCATTTTGGTTATGCGTGTGCGTGTGCGTGTACTAATTCCATTAATTTAAGTTATTAATAAATATCAATTTGTATAAATCAATAAATAAATTTTAAGTCAAATTACCTTGATTTTATATTTTTTTTTTTTATTCCGAACAAAAATCTATATATTATTTTAGAAATTTTAACAAGTTAATTTTCTTTTCTCGTTTTCTTTTTGGCGTGCACGTAACGACTTTAAAAAATTTGGCGCCAAAATTATCTACTAATCCCACGTACAAATTTTAATTTTAATAAATATACCTTTTTATTTTTTATTTTTATTTTTATTTTTAAAGTGTACATATTTTATTTAAAATTATTTTTTATCAAAGTAATATTAAAAATGCAAAATTCTTCTTCGACTTCACGGGTAATTGCTTTGGTTGACATGGATTGTTTTTATTGTCAAGTTGAAGCCAGATTAAATCCCGAATTGAAAGGAAAACCTTTGGCTGTTGTACAATACAATCAGTGGAAAGGAGGCGGGTAAAAAAATTCACATCAATTTCATTTCTCTCATTTTTATATAATATTTTTGTATGAGAGTTCATCGTTTACATTTTTTAGAATAATTGCTGTCAATTATGAAGCGCGAGAATATGGTGTCACTCGTTCTATGAGAGGAGATGAAGCCAAAGAAAAATGTCCAGATATTGTTTTAGTCTCTGTTCCAACGATACGTGGGAAAGCAGATTTATCAAAGTGAGATATATATATATATTTATAATAGGATAAAAAAAATTTTCTAGTTTCTTTAATTTTGTATTTTATTTTTAGTTACAGAGAAGCAAGCGATGAAGTGGCTGCAGTTTTTTCAGAATTTTGCGAATGCGTACAAAGAGCAAGTATAGATGAAGCTTATTTAGATTTGTCAAAAGCTGTCGATGATTATATCGCTGAACACAAAGAAAATATTGATGTAAGGGATTTACCATCAACTTATATATTAGGCCATTGTGATCTTAAAAATAAAGATGAAGGTAATTTTATTAAATTATTAAAATTTTTGCCTTTAAACTGTATGTAATTCATTTCGTTTGAAATATTTTAGAAAAAAGATTAGAGGGCTTAGCAGAATGGATAAGAATTACCGAAAATGAAAAAATGGTTGAAAATGCTGATTATAAATTAGCTATCGGAGGGATTATTATGGAAAAAATGAGATCAAAAATTTTAGAAAAAACCAGTTTTCACTGTTCAGCAGGAATAGCTCACAATAAAGTAATTGAAAATTAATTAACAATTCGATTTCATTTCATAAATTAATCATCGATTAGTTTCATAAATGTTATCATAAATTTTTTAGATATTGGCAAAACTGACAGCTGGCTTACATAAACCTAAAAAGCAAACGATACTACCTCATAACAGTGTACCTGAATTATATGAAAAACTTCCCATAAGAAAAGTTAAAAGTTTGGGAGGGAAATTAGGTAAACATGTTTCGGAAAAACTTTCAGTGAATTACATGTCAGAATTATATAAATTTAGCCTACAAGATTTACAACAAGAATTTGATGAGAAAACAAGGTAAAATAATTTAAAATTTTTTTTCATTTCATAATATTTCTAGTTTTCTAAATTTCGTTCGCACTCTTTAAACGTTTCAGTATTTGGTTATATAATATGGCAAGAGGTATAAATTCTGAACCTGTTACTCCAAGACTATGTCCCGAATCGATAGGATGTTGTAAAAATTTTACCGGTATAAATAAACTGACAAAAAAATCACAAATAGAACATTGGCTCAAAGAACTGGCAACGGAAATCTCTGAAAGACTTTTAAAAGATTCAATTAAAAATAAAAGAAGAGCTAAATTATTAACTGTGTCTTTTTTTCAAGACAGTCCAATGTCCAGATGCGGACCGTTAAACTCATACGACACGAATAAAATTGTTTACGATGCAATGGAACTAATTAAAAAATTCAATTGTGCACCACCTGAACAAGATTTATGGTAAATTGTATTTACTTTATTATTATTGAATAAAATTACTTCGTTACCTCCATCACTTCATAAATCCTGATATTTATTCGTTTTTAGGAAACCTCCTATTAAATATCTCGGACTATCGGCAAGTAAATTTGTAGAAGAAGGTACATCGATTAAAAAATTTTTTGAAACTGTCCTTGAAGACCGGAAAAATCAAAAAAACGATACGAGGGAAGTGAAACCTGATAACCCTACCACAACCTGTCAAAAAAATTCAAATAACTCAGACTGCGAGGAACTGAAAAAAGAAGAAGAAATTCCTAGCACGAGTAAAAATATGAATTCCACCACGTCTTTTTTCGTAAGATTTCTCAACGAAAGAAAATTATTAACGGAAAAAACAACAGAGAAAAAAAATAATGATGATGATGATGATGATGATCAATGGGTGAGTCTCACGGAAATAATTCCAGATTTAAACGAAGCCGATGAAAATGTTATCAACATGTTACCGAGTCCGTTAAGAAAAAAATTCAACGACAGAATAATAAAGTCACGTGATGAAAACAATAAGGAAACATCCGTGAGACAAACAAATGTGGAAGAATTCAAAAAAGATTCCGGAACGACGAACGAATTTTGCGCAACGGAAAAATGTAACGAATGCGGGGAAAACGTTCCCTTATATGAATTTTTAGAACATTTGGATTATCACGTGGCCGTTAAAATCAATACGGAAATTAACGGTCGCGACATGGATAACGAACCGATGAATAAAATACAAAAAATGGAAAAAGACATAAATGCGAAAAGAAAGAAAAGCGAAAGAATTGATAAAAAATCGAAAAAAATGAAAAGCATAACGTCATTTTTTACCGTAACGCCAAAACAAACTTAATTTTTTACCCGCCACGCATGTACTTATTAAAATTTAATTAAATATAATTTACGCATTAAAATGTCTGTTTGGGGGAGTAGGGGGGGGGGGCGAGGGGGAGAAAAAAAATAAAAAAATCACTTACCCCAAAGAAAGATGGAAGAAGAAAGTAATTCATCCATATTTAATTCGTTCCACGATTTAACGGTCTTAATCTTGTAAATTTGACCATGGTCTCCGGAGATCTAAACAGGAATAATAATTTAGCGTATAAATCTTCTTCCAATAAAAAATCTTTACTTTCTCTTGCAAGATAAATATCGTAGCATAGCTATTGTAAGAAGAAAAAAAAAAAATAAAAATAAAGGTTAATTTAAAATAATATTTAAAAAAAAATTTTGTTTTTCTTTTTAACCGATTATTATCACCTTTAAAGCTTGATCTGGATTTGGCATATCATCAAACATTATATATGGATATTTCCACATGAGTCTTCTTATAAACGTCCAAGATACGAAAACTAACGATAAATACAATCCAATAATCCTGTTTGTAAAGGAAAAAAAAATTACAATTTGCTATAATTACGATGAATAATCGTGTTTCGAGCAAAATAATTATTCACCCTTTTTTGCTAACGTTTAAAAAAAGTTTCGGTATGTTTTTTTCATTAAACGTATATATTGTTATCACGTCCTGAGTTTGATATGGGATTTTACTAATTTTTTCTGTTTCTTCGATGTCGTCAGGTATTTCTACCAATTTCCACCAACGATCCGAACCGATTTCTTCAAGTATTAACGTAACGTTCCTAAATGAATCTGATAACGAAAACACAAATTGAAGTTATTTATTTATTTCTTTTGGAGAATTGAACAAATTGGACAATAATAAAACTTACTCGTTCGATCATCCGTACTTAAAAATCCATTCACGGGTTTAGCTTGACCTTCGTTTGTTATATGTAAGAATTTTGGTAAAAAATGATGTAGAAATATTTCGACTTTTTTTTCTGTAAATGCTTGAGCCAACATTTCTCTTGCTTTATCCGGTTTTTTTAAAACCATTTCCTTGTATCCTTTGGCTTGATCAACTATTTGCGATCTGGGCACTCTTTTAATTTTCCATATTAAATATATCGAAAGAGGCGCATCTAATCATCAAATTTTTCTCCATCAATAAAATAATTTTTATATGGGATTTAAAATTTTTTTTATTTTTAATGCTTACCCAAATTTTGAACCGTTTTATTTAAAAGTTCGAAATCTTTTGTATTCGTTTTCCACGGTTTGATGGAAGTGACTTTAAATTTGATCGCAGTCACATCTCTGTAATCGAACAAAGCTAAAAATGCCCAAATTTTTTTATTCCCTTTGTACAGAGTTTGCAAAGCTTTAAAATCGGATGATTTGAACCTAAAAAAAAAATTTTTTTAAACATTAATTCGTAAGAATTGTTTTTTGGAATGCAATTGTTCTTCTTACTCTATTATTTCCGTGAAAGATGCTCTTGATATGAAAATATTTCCAACGTTTCCTAATTCTAATGTTAATTCCGCTTCTTGTGGTAAATTCGGTTGTGCGACAGTATTAAAAAAAGCAAATACAATAAATGGTAACCAAATAATTATAATTATACCGAGCAATACAAATACACCAGGAATCGTTTTAGAAAATTTAGGATAATTTTGTCCCCTGGGAACGGGGTAAATCATATCCGCTCTCCTGCAGCACTAAAATATGACGTCATTACATTTCAAATATAGAATTATATTCGATGGAAAAAAAATAATTTTTTCGATTAAAATTGTATTTTTAACCTTATTTTCATAAATTAGTTGAAAAATACTTTCGAATTTAATCCATTCGGTCATATTAAATGAACTTTGAGTACAAAGAAAATCTAAAATAACTCTTAATTGATTAAAAAATGGAATCAATTGCAATCTGCAAAAAAAAAAATCAATTTTTAATTCAAAATTGAATGTCAAAAGCGTAATTAAAACAAATTTTAGTAAAAAACCCCAAAATGTCTACTCTCACCCTTTATAAGCATAATAATTAATATAACCATATTTTTTACATAAAAAATGTCCTTGTACTCTTAATGGATAACCAACGCGCAACTGATACGCAGACATTAAGAAGTAAAAACAACTGATTAAATAATACATTTGTGGTATAATTAAGCTATTGAACGGTCTAAAAAAAAAACAAAATAATAATAATAATAATAATAAATCGTATAAAAAATTAATTTTCAAACAATTTTTTTTTAAAAATAAATATTAAAATGAAAGGATATTTTAAATTTACACTTCTGTTTTCAATGGAACCATAACAAACATCCAAACGTGTATAAGAATGATAAGAAAAAATTGTACGAATAATTTTCCGAGTATGCATTTTTTTAGATAAAGTATTCTATCCGTGACGATGACTAAAAAATGAAAAATTAATGTGAACAAATAAAATATCGGAATTTGATTTTCTGCTAAATTAAAATAATCTTCAGAATCCATATCTCTTGACTGAAATGTAAAAAAAAATCAAATTTTAACGTTTAAAAAGGGCAAAAAAAAAAAAAAAACACAAAAAAAATCGCAAGTATTAAATACTTACATCGGTGAATGAAGAATATCCGAAAAAAATTAATAAAAATGCTAAAAATTCAGATATAAACATCAGGGTGTAATAATCGGCTGATACTCTCCAATCCCGAACGGCTATTTGTAAAAAAAATTTTTTAACGCATGTAAAATGTTGAATCCATCTAAAAATAAAATTTTGACATTCATTCTAAAAGCAATACAAATATAATAATAATAAATTGTGTAAAAATATTTACGATAATTTATATATTAATCCTTTTGCTTCTGGAACAATATCATTTGCATACACCCTCAAAACTAAATTCCCTTCCAGAGCCTCTTCCGGTAATTGTGTAACAAATGCAAAAGTCGGTTCTAAACGACGTCCTTCGTGAGTGACCAATATGGGACCCTCGATTTCTCTAACAACTATTTTCGTTTTAAATTTACTACCGCTAAAATAATCAAAATCATTCTTATACTAAAATTTCCCGTTTCGGCCCCATTTTTTTTTTTTATAAATAATACAATTCAATCACCGATAAATTAATTTTGCTGTTGCTCTGCTCGTACGTTTCCATGCAGCCATTTGTGTTGTTTCGGGATAATTTTCTTCGAAATTATCTAAAATGTATGATCTATTCCGCTGTAAACGTTTTCTATTGTTCGGAAAATCTTTCGGATCGACCGAAAATAATTCTCTATATACTTTCATATTTTGCGGCAATATGGTTTCTTCTTCTTGACTCCTCTTCCACAATCCGAGAGTTTTCAATTTGTACCTTTAATAAAAATCGAACTCAACAAAAATAAATTAAATTAACATAATGATGATAACTTATTTTGTTATTTACCTATGTAGAAATAATACTAAAAGTAAAAATAAATCCGATATAACGTATTGACTCGTTCTGTGAATTCCTAAAAACAATGGCGGATATTCAGGACTGTATAAATTAACTTCGAGATTCCATGGGAAAATTGAATTTTGAAAAAAAGCCTTTATAACGACGGTAATCTATTTAAAAAAAAAAAAATTAAATAATTGCTAAAGGTATTCTACGTCATCGAGTACAAAATTTAAAAAAAAAAAAAAAGTACCTCTGTATATGCTATTAAAACCGTCCAAAATGTAGTGGTGGGTCTAATGGTTGTTAAAGACCCCCAGAAAAATACTAATAAGGGTAAAGGTAGCGAAATCATTGTAGGAGATAGTGCCGTGTGAAAAAATATAATTACATAACAAAATAATTCCGTTTTCGACATGACAAACATGCAAATTGAATTTATTAAATCAACTAAAAGAGCTTGAGATGATTTCTTTGGATATTCTGAATTAAGATCATCGCTTCTAAAAAAAAAAAAAATACAAAAAGAAATTAACACACACAAATTTATTTTAAATTTATAATTTTTTAATAAATTATAATAATTTGTATAATTTTAACCTATAATTCATTGAATCGGATAACGTTTCTTCATCGAATTCAGACTCATCTTGGGATTGTAATGATTTTCTGGTATCTTTTTTACTTTTTAACAAAAAGAAAACTCATTAAATAAAAATTTAATGGTGTAAATCGAATGAGTACGATCACCAATTCGAAAAAAAAAAATATTACGTATAACTATCGTCGATCGATCCTGTTCCTTTTGTTATTTTCTATATTGTGGGAAAGGGAAAAAAAAAAAAAAAATTAAAAAATGTCTGGATAATATATATGCAAGTATCAAAATGAATTTTGAACCTTTTGAATTTCTCTTTCTTCTTTCATTTTTGTTTGAATGTATCTATAATCGCGAGAATGACGTTTAAAAAATCTTATCATCGATACCATGATGCTATCAAAAAATGAATGAAGGAGCTGCCATGTTTTTTTAGTTTTGTCTTTTTCTTTTATTTTTTATTCGCCCCCCCCCACCCCCAAAAAAAAAAAATCATGAGTTTTTTTACACACAATAAATTTAATTTTCCTGTGATTGTATTTCTTGAAATTTTACCTGCTAGGTTGGATTTTATAGATCCGGTTATACTAAAAAAAAAAAAAAAAAAATTATTAACATAATAATATTAATTTAATTTTTTAAAAATTTAAAATAAAATTTTTATATACCTTTTTCTAACGGTTTTATCTTCTGACATTTTTTTTCTCGATTGCGGTTCATCCTTAAATTATTAAAATTTTTTTTTAAATAAATTTTTCGATAGATTTTTTTTTTTTTTTTTAACATTAAATAATAATAATAAAAACTTATTTACTTTAACCGATTTTTTCGTTTTCTGAGTTTTTAATTTTCCTTCATTTGCTTGAGCCTGTGCATTTTCTTCTCCTTTGAGGAAAACATTGCCTATAAACTAAAAAAAAAAAAAAAAAAAAATTTTTTTGTGAACCAAATCTCGAATAAAACTCTTGAAAATTTATTTTAAGGTATCATTACATACTTCTGACATCGTCACGTTTTGTCTTTCTTCCTCTGACATATCTTTTTCATCGGAATCTTCACTCGAAGTACTAGATGATTCTTCCAATTCGGTAGAAACTTCATTTAAATCTTCAAACATAAAATAATCTCCCATGTAAGTTGCTGAAATTAAAAAAAAATTTTAAAATGATTTCTCTTTTTAAAAAAAAAAAAAAAAAAACTAAATTTTAATCGATTTCGTTCCCGTAGGTACCCGTAGCATGATCGGTAGGTTCAAAATAATTAAGTCCCTGAACTCTTTTCTGCCATGCTTTTATACGATTCATGTTTTTTTTTATTTTCATAAGAGTTTTTGTTTCACGCAAGTGATATTTTCTTATTTTCTCTTCTTGTAATTCGTCCATTAACAAAGCACCTTTTGCTTGAATTTTAAAAACTCCCATGACGTCATCTACTTCGTGAAGAAAATAATAACTTTGAAAATACCTCCTTTGAAATATAGCGAGTGTGAAACATACGAAATCCCAATAAATATCGTAATTTAGCCTTTGACCCGAATGAAATGAATAGGAACACTGAAGAAATAAAAGTTCTATCAACCAACTCGCATTCAATTGTATGTATCTCGAATATATGCATATTAAAAACTCCATTAATGTTTTTAACAGTATAACGAAAACGGTGTAACCTAATAGGACGTTCCACCTAAAACAAAGAATAAATAAAATTAATTAACGAATTGAAAACATTAATGACGTCTTATATACATAATTTTATAGATTTTACCACTTGAGTATTTTTTTTATATGCCATAAGCAAAGATCGTAATCTATCCATAAAAAAACAAAGGCACCAACTAAATATCCTAATGATAATATGGTTGCATTGCTTGCACCATTCCAAAATTCAAAAGCTAAAGTTATGCGAAATAACCAACTCAAGAAGAAAAATTTACACACGTCTAACCACGATCTGAAACGAACCATTTCAAATAAATAAATAAAATTTCACTCGTTTTTTATAAATAAAAAAAAAATAAATAAATAAATAAATTTTTACACACTTTATTGTTCCGGTGTGATCAGGTGTCGGATTTATAAATTTATCATTGTAATAATCCATGTAAACATCTTTGTTAGAACCTCCTAAAAATTTACCACCGTGTCTTTTTTCTAATTCGAAAACAGTTTGCTGTCTTTGTATGAGTAACAATAGAAAAAAATCAACTGAAATTTATATATATATATATATATATATGCTCAATTATAAAAATAATATGAAAAATTATTATTATTATTTTTTCTAATAATAAATAGTTACCTAATGTTTTATTCGTACTAGGAAATTTATTGAAACTCGGTAGGAAAAACCAATTCGTCAATTGAGAATGTTCTTCCCAAGGATATTCTAAAACGTTTTTAAGAAAAATTATTATTTAATGTGTAAACATTGATTAATAATTATTCATGTAAAATATATTTAATACCGATGCAGGCATTTTTCGATAGACCGACGGCTATGGCATACTGCCATAGCACCGATAAAAATAAAGTTATCATAAAAAAAGGCCACATAACTGCCAATTTTGATCTTTGTGGAAGGAATAAAATTGCAACCCATATGGCGTATACGAATGAAAAAATATCCATTCTGTAAGCAATTGTGAATACGCAAAACGACAACGTGATCTGGAAAAAAAATTAAAAAAAAAATTTCATTTATTCCACAAATTCGTAACGACTTTTAACATTAACAGAAAAAAAAAAAAAAAAAAAAAAGGATAACATCACCTCAACACCAAATTTATAAAATCCATAATTTATTAAATATTTTAAACATAATTTTAAACTTTTATCAGCATCTTTTCTCGACACGTGAATATACATAACCGGTGGTATATTGGGTGGTTTTCCAGCATCCATTCTTATTATCCTAAAAATATATATAAAAACTTTATCTTGTGTGCATTTACAAAAAAAAAAAACTAATATGAAAATGTTACTTTTGCCTCGTTTTAATAACGGTTTGAAATGTCATAACAACAAGTACAACAATATAATTTTGAAAATATTCAATAATTTTTTCATTTTCGTTTAATAATTTAAATCCCCACCATTCAAGATCAACAATTGTACGTTCTATTGTACTTCGTATACTGATGCTTGCGATCTGGAAAAAAAAAAAAATTGTTTGTATATATAAATAAATTTGAATAATATATTTAAAAACAAAATCCTTACCGAACAGTTAACTGGATTATCCAAATGAGAAAATAATTTCGTTTGATACAACATTTTTAATATTAAAATCAATGCAAGAAATGGACCGATGAGATAAAAAGAAAATCTCAATGCGGATATTCCAAACATTACGCAAACAATTAATATCAACACGATTAATAAATGTACCGAATTCACCTAAAATAATAAATAATTTTACAATTGTAATCATTATAATAAATTATTTATAAAAAAAAAAATTTAAATAATAATAATTATTTACAGTACTGCAACATAAAGCCATTATTGAAAATGCTACAATTTTAACCAAGTGCATTTCCAAAAAAGCAAAAACGAAATTTAAAAACTGATATATTTTTTTAAATATCCATACTGGAAAAAAAATAAAAATAAAAACACAAAAGAAAAACCGTTAAAAATAATTTTTTTAAAATTTTATTTAACCGGAGAAAAATTAAGATACGATATTAAATTTAAATAAATAATAATAATAATAATAATACAAACCCAGTCCTTTTCTTAAATTTTTAAATGTTCTTGCCATATTTACTAATTATTTAACTAATAACTAATTTTTTAATTTTATATTACATCAAGTAATATATAAATAAATTGTAAACATAAACAGAGCGTTTTTAAATTATAATTAATTTTTTACATAGAAGGTTTCGATTCGATGGTTTGTCATTTTAAAATGCTCATTTATCGAAATTTAGTATTTAAATAAATAAAAAAACAATTTTGTTTAAAAAGTCTCTTTAAAATGTACAAAAAAAAAAAATTTATTATTAATGAATTAAAAATTTTATAATTTAATGATCGTTAAAAAAATATATTATAATAATTTAATAAGTGATTTTTTTATGTATAATTTATGTATTATTAAAACTTTCGCTTTTTTTTCCCCTAATATCATTTTAATTTGCGATTATTCGTAAAAAAAAAAAAAACTAATAAATACATAATTTAAGTTGATTAAAATTAATTAAATTTGATTTGTTTTATTGTTTATTTCTTTAATAAATAAGTTCTTGTACAAAATTCATGCTTCAATCAAATACGTAAATGACGAGTTAAATTTTTTGTTTAAAAACCATTCAATAAAAAATTATAAAAATATAAAATGAGTAAAAAAAAAAAAAAAAAAGGGTAAAATATATATATAATTTTGTTAAAAATTTAAATTAATTTTAAATTATCATTTAAAACCGATGCTAAAAGATTATGATCCTTAAGAGAATTTGTCACTTCGGATTCGTCCCATTGTAGTGAAACCTTGGCAAGGATTCCTTGACCTTTTCCAATTTGTATTATTCCAGTCATTTCAACTTGTTTGCAAAGAAAAATAAAACCAGACTTATCGACGGCAGTCAAACCTTTACTAGTACAGACTTTTGAATAAATTTGGTGAAGCTGAAAATAACCGTACAAATTTTAATTAATTCGCACTGGAATTTTTTTTTGCAAGAATAATAAATTTTAACCATACCTTTCCTATATTCAAATCTTGCTTTTTCCCCTTTTTAATCATCAATAATAAAGAACATATTAATAATTTTTGATGTAACGGAAATGCAGATTCTTCATTGTGTTTAAAGTTTTTAGATCCATAAACTCCTTTAACTACATTTAACACATCCATAGCATTTACGTCAAATTGTAATTTTCTGGGGGACCTTCTCAACACAGTATTTTCATTAAATATAGACTTTTTGTCTGCGTCCGTTTCTTCAGAAATTAAAATTTTTGCTCTTTTCTTAGGAGATGCAAAATTTTCATCATATTCAGTCTCATTACTTATCATTTTTAATTTTCTAGGCGATTTCCTTAATATTCTATCACAATTCACATTTAAACTTTTTTCTTTGGATGCAGGTGATTCATTGCAATTTCTTGAATCACATTCTTTTTCAAAATTATCTAATAAATTTTTCAGACTTTTTTTGGGTGATTTTTGTAGAAAATTAAGTCTTTTTCTAGGTGGAGTTTTGGCATTGTCTATCATTTTATTAAAAATTCCTTCTATTTGACTAGCAGATTTTAAAGGAGTCTTTTTTACATCTGAATTGATATTGTCATTTTTATTTTGGGAATTGCTTTGTGTCACAGGTTCTAAAATGATATTTTAATATTAACTTTTAAAAGTTCTTTACTTAAACAAAATAGAAATGTGTTTATATTACCTGAAACTGGGATTTGATTTTGTTCGACTACTTCGATAACTCGTTTTCCTAAATCCAATGCTCTCCTAATATCTCCTGAAGTCCCCGCAACCTTAGCGGATAACAATTCTAATGCACCTGGTGCAAAAATTTTATCAGCTCCTGCCTGTAAAGTACAAAATTTTTCAAAAATTATGCAGTTCAAAAATAAACATGTTTTAGTTTTTTAAAAATTTTATTTTTAATCAGTCCTCACATTCAAAAGCCTCGTTTTTAATATGTCTGCTATTTCTTCTTTTGTATATGGTGTGAAATGCAACAATGTTGGCTGAAGATGATTTTTGTTACAAATCCTTGGTAGATGCCTGTCAGTAAAATCCATTGCATTAGCTATACCAATTAATACAAACTTTGAATTTTTCAAAGATGGCCATTCGAATATTCTGTACAAAACTGATTGTGATTTACTTTCAAGTTGATCGACTTCATCTAAAATTAAAAGTCTAAAAGAAAAGAAGTTTTTTTATTAGTGAGAATGATTAATATTTTTTGTCTGCAGTGTTAAAAACATTATAAAAAAATTTTTGAATACATAAAATATCAATTTTTAAATTACTAACATCATTTTATGCTTTTTAATAAGAAACTTTTCGATACAATCCACTGCATGCCTTTCATTTTTAATTTTGCATTTTAATTTTAATTCTTCACAAATTCTTTTAAATACAGACGTTGAACAATTAAATGCAGTGCAATTGATTTTAATTAAATGAAAATGACTGGTAGCCTAAAAAATTTCAAATAATATTTATGAAATCATCACATCAATCATTTCTATCAATATCATATGTAATTTTTTTTTTATAATACCTGTTGTTCATTTATTATATAATTTACGCAAGCGGTTTTTCCAGTGCCGGGCAATCCCGATATATAAATACTTCCAGAAGTTTGACTGTTTAAATGTTTCGAAATAAATTTTTTAAGTTCGTCTATTTCTTTTTGCCTTCCAATAATTGTATCACAGCTGTGTAATGCTTTTCTGGCACTTGAACTAGCAGACTCGGATAAAAATTTAATGCATTCATTTTTTTTCGGTGTGATGTCAGATTCTTTAGAAGAAGTGTTTTTAACACTTTGTCTAACTAATTTTTTTTTAGGAAAATCAATCACACTCGATCTTGTCGCGTAAGGCATCGTTTAAAAAAAAAAAAATAATACTTTTCACAAGGCACTTATAACAGTCATTACTTTCAACGAAGCAAGCATATGATTTACCGCGCTCTTTCAACAAAGGCTGCCAACCTAAAAAAATTTTTTTTACTCAACAGCTGTTTGTAAGTCATTTAAAAATATTATTAAAGTTAAAACTTGAAGAATATTTTTATAAAATGAAACGTTTGTTTTAAACATTAAAATTATAATATTTTATTTTATTTCCACAATTAACCAATAATATCACGTATGAAAGGATATAATAGAAATAATCTTCAATAAATAAAATCGTAGTAAACTTTATTTTCATAAACTCGATCATAATAATAAAAAAAATTAACTAAAACAAACAATAATTTATTTATAAATACTAAATTTTAAAATCTAATCGATTAAAATAATGACAATTTTTAATACTTATACAAAATTTATTTAATTATAAAATAATCGTGATAAAAATAATAAAAAAAATTGTCATTTCGTAGAAATTTTGATGGATGTTTAACTAACGAAGTGCATTAAAATAAAATAAAAAATTAATATAAACTTTAAATAATTATTTATATTTATAAAATTATTTGGCTTGATTTACATATATACTGATTAACGGTTTTTTTTTTTTTGTTTTTAAATTATTATATTACAACTGGTATACAAAATTTTTTATTTATTTATTTATAATTATTTTTAATCGGTAATTAAATTTTAAATATAAAAAAAAAACTCACTTAATTTCGAATGTCTTCTAATTTGAGTGAATTTTTTATTGTGGGAGGTAAGACGAGCGAGGAAACTTTTTCGTAAATTTTCGTTTTAAATTGAGATCTGACTTTAATTCGACATAAATCGTACAACCTCAAGGGATTTACTTTTAAATACGCTAACCATTTTTCTATAGGACTGGAGGGCTCATTTGAAAATTCAATGTTTCGAAAATGAAATCCCGCGTGTATGAGTAATTCGAAAAGGAAACGATTACCCCGAAGCAAAAGGCTGCCAATTAAATGAAGTTGATAAATGTATCTGTGATTGACGTTGGCTCCGTGACGTATCAACGTGGCAGCTGCATCGTCGAATCTTTTTATTAAAGCCAAACAAAGTGCCGTGTGACCAGAATTCGATTCGTCTTCTAAATTAACGTCGTACTCTTGAAATACCGAAAACATTTCGTTGAATTTTTGATATCCTCCCGACGCGTTGCAAATTATCTCGTGCAAAGGAGTATTACCCGTAACGTAACTTTTGCAATTTATCGAAGCTCCTGAAATATTTAAATTTCATACTTACGACAAACGCACGTAAAAAAAAATTGAAATGATTTTTAAAAAATGGCGCGCACGCATACCGTTTTGCAGTAGAATTCTAGCTATATCGACTTGATGCGTTTTGGCGGCAACTATTAACGGAGTGTCGCCATTTTCGTCCCTTAAATTTATTATGCAACCGGCGGATATCAATAGAGAAACCATTTCCTTATGTCGATGTAAAACTGCATAATGCAACAAATGATGGGATTGTGTTACTTTTGCACCCGCACTCAATAACAATTTAACGATTTCTGTATTTTTTTGCCAAACTGCTTCGTACAATGGAGTGTACCCTGTGTTAATAAAATTTCGATTAGATATTGATCAACAATACACACACACACACACGATTAAACGAATTAACTAAAAACTACCGTGAATTTCTTCCAAATTGACTTTAGCACCATTTTCTAATAAATAAGCCACCACGTCTTGATGTGACCTGGATACAGCCATAAAAAGAGGACTCCTATCGGATGAGTCCAGACTATCAATGTATGCTTTCGCTTTGATTAATAATTTAACATTTTGAAGTAGACCTCTGGATGCGGAAACGTGTAACGGTGATATTCTATCTGTCGTTTTACAATGTACATTAGCTCCAGCAGCAATTAATAACTCGACTATTTCAGGATTGTCTTTGGCTGCTGCCATGTGCAAAGGTGTTAAATTATCAGAATCTCCAACATTCACTTTGCAACCTGTAAAATAATTGAAATTATAAAAATATCATAGTAATTGTAACATCATCTGTTCGAAACAGATTTTTTTGTTAAGCTTTAATAAAAGTGATTAAAATGTGTGTGTGTGGATGATTATATTCCTTTATAAATTTGTTATTTATGGATGCAGATTTATATACGATTAATTTTATTTCCACTAATATTAGGCATCTGATTTTTTAATGAGTATTTTAAAACACTTTTTTTGTAAAATGACGTCACTAAAAATAACGGTCGAATTTCTGTAAAATTGTTCTTCCTTAGAATTGCTGTATTGGTAATTAATCATTACCTGCACTTATCAACAACTTCACAGCCTCAATATGACCTTCTACAGTTGCATAATGTAATGCTCTACACCCAAACTGATCTTCTCTATCGATATCAATTGCAGAAGGTTTTTCTTTTAAAAGGTAATCAGTCTGTAATAAAATACTTGTGTACCAATAATAAAATTCACACCAAGGATCATCAACATCTGATGAAACTAATATGTTGTTTTCTTTCACTTCCATATCCCATTCTAATTTATCCATTCCCTCGGGGGTTGTTTCCCCATCTTCGCTTGTAATATTTAAATCACTCACACTTTTTTTCGAATTGAACCTCGGATCCCTTCGCACGCATGGATCATTAAAAGTTGCCAAATCATAAGCTGTTTTTTTCATTTTAGATAAAAAAAAATCATTGCATTCTTCATTGGAATAATTCAAATTTGCTCCAATGTTAGAATTACATTCACTTTTATTCAAATTGTCCACTTTGCAATCACTACCCATATTGGAGCACTCAAACGAACTCTGTTCACTGTGAACATAAACATAATATCCTAAATTTGAATTCGAAGTCCTTTTATCACTCTGCACTCTGTTTATTGTACTTTCGGTTACTTTTGGCTCTATGTGAGGATAATTTTTTTCATCAATACAATCGTTATTCGTACGCCTATTAAGTAACAATTGAAGAATTTCAATATTTCCAAATTGGGCTGCTGCCCCGAATGATGTTCTTCCATTAGGACAAATGACATTCATATTTGCTCCTAAAAAATATTCGTTTTTCGATTTTGTCATACTTATAGTGAATTCTTAAAGGTGAATTACACCAAAATGTATGTATATATATATATAAAAAAAAAAAATAAATAAAAATTACTTTTATTAATATGATTTGAAAACAAATAATTATTATTTACCCTGATCTAAAAAATATTTAACACCATTTACATCTCCTCGACAGCAAGCGAGTAATAATTCCTTGTCAACAAAACTCATTTTTTTAAATAAAATTTAATCACTTAATTGTACAAAGTTATTAATTACATTAATAAAAACAAATCACAAAATTTAATCACAACCCCCCCCATTGTCATTTTTGTTTTCACCAGAAAAACTATATTATAGCCAACTTTCAAAAGTTCAAAACACCGAGTGTTATAGAAATTAAAATTAAAATTTAATTATTATAATCACAACAAATCGACACCGTTTATTTATTTAGCTTATCGCGTGCTTAGATATTGTCAATTTATTTGTTACTTTTAGCAGACGTTACATGTTTTTGGTCTTAAAAAATTTTCATTTTAAGGTTATTTTATTAATTTTTGTTTTCTTTTTAAATTATTTTTTTTTGTATTTTGTTTACTTTCGATAGATGTTAATAATTTTAACTCGATTTTGTTAATTATTATACTCTATTTACTTTGATTCTTTCAAATTACCGTGCAAATGTAGGGTTGAACCATCATGATTATTCCTATTACTATCCCCCCTTTCTACTCGCAATCGCAATGCACTCAATTGAACTGAAAATAACATTTCAGTTACAAGTAATATCTTGACATGGTTAAACCTCAATAAGATTCTATCAAATTCTATTTATTATTATTATTATTATTATTTTCTCTCTTTAAAAAGTAAAATTACAAAAAGTGTTTTTTTTTTTTTTTTTTTGTATTAATTTAAATAAAAAAAATTTTTTTTTTATTTTTTATTCTGTTTATTTATTTAATCTGTCTAAATATTTAATTTGTTTATAAAAAAAAAAAATGTATTTAGACCAAAATTCAAAAGTAAAAAGTAATAATATTCAATCGATTATGGATTCGCCAACTGTATTAAGAGTTGAAAGAGCACTACAGAGACAAGAAGGGAAAAATATTTTTTATTGTCAGGTAAGTTAAGATTTTTTTTTTTTTTTTACTTTTTTTCTCTTATTCGCATGATAAATTCAATGCCAATATTTTAAAACATGAAAGGTAAAAAAAAAAAACACTTTCTCCTTTCAAATCATTTTTTTTTTTTCATCGTTTTAAAATTCTAAACAACCCTTATTCGTTAAACCCCTAATTCGACAAAAACCAAAATTTTTTTTTTTTTTAAACGACAGCATTCAACCTGTTCATTTAAGTAAAAAATTGTCGTATCCAAAAAAAAAAAAAAAAAAATTAGAATTTGCATTTAAACCTTTTCGTAATTGATTCAATGTCATCATAATATCATCATCATCTTTAATTAAATTCCAATTTATTTTTCTCCCCTTGTGTTATTTACTCATTTTTCATTTATAAACAAAAAATAAAAAATAAAATGAAAAAACCATTTAAATAAATATTTGCATTAGTTTTAAATTTTCACAATTGCATTGTTTTTTTTTTTTTTTTTTTACCCATCATAATAATAATAATAATAATAAATTGTGTAATCATATTTTCATTGAATATCTCATTGTGTGTGTTTGTGTGTATCATACTAATTACCTTGATTTTAAACTTGCCCCCTACTCTCTCTACTCTCAAACACAGTATGGAATGGTGTGTGTGTGTGTGTGCGTGCGTGGCTGTCCCACCTCATTCAATTCATTACTCATCATCTTCTTGTAAATATTTTAAAGCATATTCATATAGACAAGACAGACACACACATACGTGCGTGAATTCCCTGAGCTTAGACATCATCCACACACACCATCCACCCACGCGTAGGACAGTAGTAGTAGTAGTAGTAGTAGTAGCGGTACTTGGAAAAACAAATGAATATCATACATGCGTCAACACCGTGTGACAATATTCTTATTAACCTAAACTCTATCATTATTATTATTATTATTATTTTTATCGGACACACAAATTCGAAATACTTTGCCTGCCTGCCCCCTCCCCCCTTTCCCCGCCCAACTCGTACTCGAATCAATAACGATTTGTAACTATGAATAACGAGTACCTTATTAGGTAATAAAACCGGAAACGGTAATTTTTTTTTTTTTCGAACCATCATCATCATCAAATGAAATCATCCGTGATTATAATAATAATAATAATAATAATCAATTAAAATTTGAATTTGTAGTAACGTTACCGCCATCGTAATTTACAATGAAAAACAAAAACAAACAAACAAACAAACAAGCGACAAAAATTGATAATTATGGTTATTAATAATCAAGTTAAATAATTTGATAAATTTTGCGTTGATATGTATGTTATTGTTAAAAAAAAAAAAAAACTACTTGAAGAGATGACAAATTGATTTGTTACTTACAAACATTGCTCATGATAGTTTTCCCCGCCCCCCCCCGCCCCCCCATCACCTCCATCATCATGAATTATAATTTTTCTCGCGATTATTATTATTATTAGTGTTTTCGTTTCTGTTTTATTCCCTTCGTTTTGTTTATGTTTCCCCATATATATGTATATTAAATTTCAATAAATTTTTTTTTGAATCGTGCATCGATAAATCGATTAATCGATTAATCGATAAAACGGAAACGAAACAAAACGAATGTAAAACAAAACACGGAGTTTATGTATATATTGAATACAAATATAATTTTCTCTATCGTGGGGGGAGGGGGGGCGGTAGCTGAAAAATTAAAAAATTAACCTCTGAGTTCTTTCCCTCTCTCCCTCTCCAACCTCAATCCTCGTTTTTCTTTTACAACGTTCGCAATAATAATAATAATAATATTGGTTAAAAAAAAACAATTCGCAGCGTTCAACATTCATTGATTGATTATGAACGCCCCTTTTTTACAATACGTTAAAAACGGAGAAAATTGTTTTTTTTTTTAGTATTTTCATTGCAAATTTCCCGTTTCGAAAAATAATAATAATAATAATAATAATAAAAATAATAATAATGAGGATGATAATGATGATGATGATACATCGGAGAATAGTAAAATTAGAAAATGCCGGAAATTAGGAAATAAGAAAAAAGTACGTTAGCCTTTTTCTCTATCTCTCTCTCTCCCTCTCTCTCTCTCACACACACACACACACACACACACACACACATTATTTAATCTTTAAATAGACTCATAAAACGCGATGATAAGTTTAATATTTAAACAGCCGACAAAAACAAAAAAAAATTTTTTTTTTTTTCTCTCTTTTTCGAAATCGTTCCACTTCCGGTGGTTTCTGCTAATTTCTGTGATAAACGTTATTCATGTCTTACCCGAGGTTGGTGTTCGATCAATCTCTCTCTCTCTCTCTCTCTCTTTTTTAATTTTTTTTCATTTTAAAAAAAAGGCAGGGGGGGCAGGGAGGCAAGTAGGCAGGGAGGGAGTCAGTCAGTGCATTGTTCTTGCATCCTAAATGAATCGATAATAGTTATATTTCGCGTTAAAAATTCCACGTCGTAACTCAACGAGAACCTGACGACATTGTTTTCCTATTTTTTTTTTTTTTCAAAAGTGAATAATTTCTATTTAAAAAAAAAAAAAATGTCGGAAACGCTAAATTTTTAATAAAATTCAAAATACACATAGAAAAAGAAAAAGAAAATGGCCGGCCCGTCCAATTGTCAAATTTAAAAATGATTGATTTTGATCGATCGATCGCGTGTAATATTATTATTATTATTATCATCGGGATAATTAATTTTTTTTATAAAAATTCGTCAAAATTAAAAAATCATTATTATTACGACAACAACAACAAAAAAAAAAAAGGGAAAAAATGAAAGAAAATGCGTTTATGTTTTTCTTTTCGCCATTTGCTGCAAACATTTCTCGCATTATGTTTTTGTTTTTTTTGTTTTTTGTTTTTCGCATGGTAAATTATATAACGATATAATAAATTTGAATTTAATTTTAAAAAGAAAGTCGCGGAGAATTTTTTTCAACTTCAACTTCTATTAAAGTTCCATTAAACTAATTGCGGAAAGCAAAAAAAAAAAAAAAAAAAATCCTTTCGTGCAAAAAGAAAAATTGTTCGTTGTAGTAATAATAAGTAGTCGTTTTATTAGTAAAAGTAAATTTCTTGTAATTAACGTTTCCCCTCCCCCCCCCTCTCTCTCTCTCTCTCTCTCTCTCTCTCGGAAACCATTAGCAAAAAAAAAAAAACGTTCGAATGCGATTTTTCGTACCCCCTCGCAACCCCCCCACCTTTTTTTCTTACGACTGATGTCAACCCGTATATTATTTAATCACGCGGTAAAATTACAAGTGTTTATTATTATTATTATTATTATTATTATTTGTCATTTTCGACGAATTTATTTTTAAATAAAACAATATTTTTAATTACGTATTTCCCACATGTAAGATGCGTATGTGTGCGTGCGTGAGTGCGTGTGCGTGTGTGTGACAAATTTTAGGTAATCCCAAACTCATTCAAAACATCATTACCTCCCTCTCTCTCTCTCTCTCTTTCTTTCCTTGTTTTCGTTGCTTACGCAGCACATGTTGTTGGCAGACACGTTTTGGAATTTCCTCCCTTCCCTCCCTCCCTCCCTAAAATTTCATTCAAAACCGGTACGAAAAAAAAAAGGTGACCCGAGTTGGTTGGGAAATCGTATAGTATATACAAAAGCGACACATTCCTGTACGAGTAATAATAATAATAATAATAATAATAATAATAATAATAATAATAATAATAATAATAATTCACCGTCACGAAAATATTTAAAGGAGGTAAATTAATTCAGGGTAAACATTAAATGAATAAGCATTTGTTTCGATGAACGAAAAAAAAAAAAAAAAAAAATTTCTAGCGGAAATAATAATAATAATAATAATAATAATA